TTTTTTTGCATTATTTGAAGTGGACGATTTTTTAAGGAAATTTTTTATTCCAGTTTTATTTATTTTTTGTTAATTTTGTTTGGAAGAATATATTTGCACTGTCTTTGAGTGCAAATTTATTTGCACTTTCTTCGAGTAGAAACTCTACCTCTTTCTTTTTAGAAAACTTTATTTGGCCTATTTTTCGTTGAAAACTTTTTCCTCGAGAAAATTTTTAAATTTTTGTAGGAAAATTCATTTGCATTGCTTTTGAGTGGAAATTTCATTGATTTTTCAATACTAAATGAAACATTTTTCTCTTCTAAAGTTTATTGGTTTTAAGTGGAAATTTAGTTTTTAGAAAAATTTATTTACATTCTTGTGAGTAAGCGTTTTTTCTTAAGGTTATGATATACATTTTTTAAGTATAAAATTTGTAGAAGAATTTATTTGCCTGGGCTTTCAGTGAAAGTTTTTAACCTAAATATTTGGTTATTTAATTTTTAAATTTAAATTTTTCTTAGTATAATTTATTGACATTGTTTTGTTAGTACATATTTTTGTATAAGAGCATGCTTTCATATTTCTTATATTTAATTTTTTAGAAAAAGCTTTTGGCATTGTTTTTAAGTGACAATTTTCTTCTTCGTATTATGCAAAATTTATTTTTATAAAAGTATATTTAAGTTGTTTTTGGAGTATAAATATTCTTTCCTTAAAATATGTTTCATCCTATTTAATATGCCAATAGAATTGTTTATGAGTGAATCTTTTTCTTTAAAAATATGTTTTAATTTTTTTTTTGGTTTTCTTCTTTTTGGAATTTTACTTTTGCTTATGTGTGAGTGGATATGTTTTCATACATTTTTTGGAAAAACTCTTTTGCATCTTTTTTTGGTCTGAAAAATTTCCTTGAGAGATTCGACTGCAATAGTTAAATTTTTTTAAATTTATTTGCCTTTGAGTGAAAGTGATTTTCTACTTTATTTGCATTGTTTTTGAGTGGAAGATTTTTCCACTAAAAATTTTTTAAAAATTTTTTTTTCTAGACTAGGTTTTTATACCTTTTTACAGAAATGGATGGTGGGCTTTTCTTAGTTGTTTTTTCCAGAAAATTTTTTATGTGTTGCTTTTGGTTGAACATTTTTTTCTTTAAGAATTTATTTTAAATATTTTAAGTTTTTAAGTGGAAGTGTCTTTTAAGAATTATTTTTATCCTGAAATTTTGTCTTCTTAGAAATTGAATTAAATTCTTTGTTGTTCTTTTTTAATTTTTTCGATTTCGGGAGAATATGATTCATACTTTATTTGTATAAATGTTTTCCATACATTTTTTTATTATTTTAGATTTATTTTTTTATAACTTTTTATATGTTTGCTTTTTAGTAAAATTTTTTTTAGAACGTTTTTCATGTGATGCTTTTGATTGAATTTTTTTCTTTAAGAATATATGTTAAATATTTTTAGTTGTTTTATTTGCAATGTCATTGAGCGGGTGTTTTATGCTTTAAAATTGTTTTGATTTCTATTTTTTTGGAAGTATTGTATAAAAGATTCAGCTTAAATTTATTGTTATTTTTTTGTTACAAATTTATAAACATGATTTGTAGTTGGAAATGGTGCCTTAATAATATTAAATTATTTTTGTATTTATTTTTCAACAATTTTTATTGAGCTCGAGGCCGTTTTATTTTGGAAAAGCAACAATAATTTGAAAAAATGGTAGAAGTGATAGCTATTTCGGAAATCACCACATTTCCTCATCAGACTTCTTTATGTATTTATTTTTTTTTTGCTTTTTTCCCCTTAAGATTGTGTCAATCATACATAAATGTTTTAGTTGACATTTTTTTTTTTTATTTAGATGTTTTGTTTTTGAGTGAAGGGTCATTTATTTAAGAATATTTATAAATTTCGAAGATGTTTTTACCAAATTTTTATCACATATGCATTTTTTTTATATTTTCACCTTCTCACTCTTTCACTTCCTCATTGTTATTGTGCTCATTCCTAGCTGCTGTTTTGATATTTCCCCTAGAAGGCTTGTATATATACATACATATTTTTATGACTATAATTGTTTTACCTTTAATTTTATCACCACTGCTTCGCTAAATAATTACTACTAAAAATTTTCCGCCATAAATTTCTTAAACCGCGCACACGAATTTGCCCTTTGCAATACTACTACCGTATGCTACTATTTTCTTTAATTTTATAGGAAATTTTAGTTTTCGTACAACTAAAAAAAAGTAATATTTTTCACGCTTTCTGCTGAAAACAATCAACGCGCCAGTGCTTGACTTTCGCCAAATAAAAAACACTTTTCCACCGTCGATTTGATTCGATTTCTTTTACTTTCTTGTTCTACTAAACTATCCACCAAGTGCTAGATTAATGTACGTCAACTGGTTAAGACTGTCATCCGTTAAATATGATTACTTAAAGCACAGGTGTGTTAATATGGGGCGCAACGCATCCGTACGGCTAGAATTATGGCGTTCAACTAATTAAACGTATGCGCGGCATTGCCGTCTTAAAAAGACATTTTGTCAAACAAATATTCAACAATTTCAAGTACTGATTGTTTTCATTACATTTCATTAGTGTTGTTGTTGCTGGTATGCTATTTACCTTTTTTATTGAATTGAAATTCATACTAAAATTCGTATGGCGGAGTGTGTGTGGCGTATGTGTTAGTGTGCCGCAAAAAAAATTATCTCTAGCATTGTCCGATTGAAGTAAGGTTCTTAACGCTGATAAATATTGTTGCTGGTTGGCTGTTAAGATTGTTGTTGTTGCAGCACTTGTAGTTGTTCGCGTTGTTGTTGTTGCTGTTGCTACTCTGGTCTGTTATAAACACTCTATTTAAAGGGTTGTGTGGTAGCTGTTGTTGTTGTAGTAGTAGTAGTAAATCGTATTATCAGTGAAATGAGTGATTAGGAAGGTGTTGATTACGCAGATACTCGCAGACTAGTTGCACTCAATGCTTGTGAGCAAAATTGAGTTGAATTCATTTTCTAAATCACTACAGCTGACGGAGGTGAAACTCGCAAGGGATAATTGTACTGCCATCTTTCTCCCACACTCGCCTCTTCCGCCTAGCAAGAGTGCTAATGATTTAGTGTTAGGTGTTGACTCACCAAATAGGCTGATAAGTTAGTTTGGCTAGTTGATTTATTAGTTGCTTGTGTATTTATATGTGTATGTTTAAAAAGATTATTTTCAGAAGGAATCAGATTTATAGTTAGTGGTAAACACATACATATTGAGTTATTTAAAAATAAATTTTTGAATCACTCAATTTTTTTTTTTGCAAGCGCTGATAATGAATGCGTCCAAGCTACATACATATATCGTTCAAGTGGGTACTAAAGCACTGTGTAAGGCTTTAATTATGTATGACATGTTCGTGATAATTGTTGTCAGCACTTGATTTCTTGTCTGTATTTGCTGATGTTAGATCGAACTGAAAGTGATACCGATAAAAAAAAAAACAGGAAAAACAGAAAAAAATATTCACTCAATCGCTCACTCACTGGATCTGGCAGTTAAAGAGTCAAAAATATGTCATGCAGCACCGTTGGAAAATTGAAGAGATATTACAGGGTGCCCAGTGGGAAAAGTAGTAATGCATTCCATGCATGATAATAATGTAATGTATTTCTTATTTGTTCTAGATTCTATTACTGTTTACTATGTAGTCAGTATTCTAATGTATCCAAAAACTCGAACAAAATTCATATTAAGTCGCATTCATTCCAGCATTACTGGTAATGCAGAATTGAATGCCCCACCGTGGGAAAAATAATGAATTTTCGAATGCGAAAACGGCTGTTTTACTGATTATTTTTTCGACGACTATACATTACATTTTCCCACTGGGTGCTTACGCGATCTATGCAGTTAATATGATGCTGCACTGCGAATTAAGGCTATATTTCTCTGTTCCTTATAACATTTCTCTGAAACTTAAGACCCCTAAAAATTGCAGAAAAACATTAGCTGTGGTCACATTGCGCCGAGATTTCTATACAGTGTCCTGTAAGAATGCATGCGGCGATTTTTAACCTTCATTTGGGAGATTGATTAGTAATTGTAATCTTTTTTAACTACATACATACATATGTATGTGTGTTCGCAAAGTAAGCACTTTGTCTAAAGGGCCGTTTTTACTTGGCTGCCATTTTATGTGACTGTGCGTGGTGATATATGACAGCAAACGGCAATGATACCAGATGACAACCCGTTTTCATTATTTTGACAACATTTGACGTCAAATATGA